TGATTGCTGCTAGATGAGGAAGAGCTGATCTTCCTAAAACAAGGATCTCTAGATAGGCTGACTAGATTCAGCAGATGGACAAGCACTGGGGAATGGCTGGGGGCACTGACAACAACACAGTGGACAGTAACAGGGATGACAGAGTATATGGGTTCCAGTGAGGGGGGGCGGCGATGGGAAAGTACCATTTGGGATGTGGGTATATAGATGAATAAGATTTGTTTGGGATGTTCTGTATGAAATACACACAAAAAATTCAACAAATAAAAAAATGAGTTATATTTGAGGATGAAGCCTAAAAATTTGCTTCATGTTAATTAGTAGAGGTGAAAAACATTATCATTTAAATCTACCTGATGACTTTATATCCATGCTTATGTGCAACAGATATCAGAAAGTAACTGTGACTAGTAATAATCAGATACATAGAGATTAGAGACACATATGCAAACATCTAAGTGTTAGTAGCATTAAAAATGAGTTTTTCTATATGAAACAGTATATTTTAAAATGAAATGGAGATCTTTTCTAAAGGTTAAAACCTCATTCAATTTTATGTCTTATAGGGTTTATACTGAGTTCAATATTATATTACAGCCAGCTGGGCATGGTGGCACATGGCTTTAATCCCAGCACTCAGAAGGCAGAGGCAGGAGGATCTCTGTGGGTTCAAGGCCAGCCTGGTCTACATAGTGAGTTCCAGGACAGCTTGGGGCTGCAGGGAGACCCTGTCTCAAAAAAAGACCAAAAAAAAAAAAAAAAAATTACAGCCAATTTTGAAAGAGATGCATCTTTGCTCTGGAAATTGTTATTGAATATGTTAATGCTGTAATGAAATGCTTCTTCTAATCATGTGTTTATTAAACAAATAATTTAAAAAAATCTTTAGCCAGTGACCTTCATATCACAGTGTTGGACTTCTCTTACTTTCCGGTGGTGCCTCCACTCCTCCTCTTCTGTAATAGCACAGCTTGTGCTTCAGTGGTTAATTTCTTATAGATAGACTGTCTATTCTTAGAATGTGATTTGTTCGCTCTGGCTTACCATAGCAGAAGTCCAAATATTTTTCCCTATGCAAACATACCATAGGCATTAGGTCCTAGTGTGTGGGATCTTCAGCCTGTCACAAATTTTATTATGCCATCTGCTTCAACCTGAGCAGTGCATCTTCTGCCGGCAGACTTTTCTGAAGTTGCCATGGCTCAGGATTAAAAAAAATCAGTCTTGGCATAAGAGGCTTGCTTTTGAAAAATAATAATTGATCATGCCTGCTGTAGATCTTAAAATAAGCATTTGAAAGAATTCCCAGAAACCTTGTCCACCCTTTTCATCTGTGAAAGGTAGTCAATGTGATGTTTGAATTATTGGTACCTTTGGTAACTAAATGAGTTTCCGGATTTATTTTTAAGGATGGGTACCGAACTCATGTATGGAGTGGTGACATATTGTGAAGCATTTTCATAGATTTCATCAGTGGATGCTCTTTACCTCGTGTCTTTATGTAAAAGAGGTATTCCAAGTGATTATATTCTGCTTATCATAAACATCTGATACCACCATCATGAAAAAAAAATGTAGGTCACAGAATTACTAGGTACATGACTGTGTAATCCCATCATTTCTGAAACAGAGCTGATGATATTGGAGGAGCTGTTTGGATAAGCAGTTCTGTGAATGTATGTTGGAGGGCTGCTCTGCATAGCATTCTTCTAGAGAATGAAACTGAGCAGTGAACAAAGTGATCTGATGTTTCCAGTGGAGAGTTCTCCCTTCTGCTCCACCTGTGCTTATGCAATGGAGGCTCTGAGATAGTGGGGGTGTGTCAGGAGTGTGGAAGTGCTGTGAAGGGACGCCAGGCAGCTGAGCCCATGGTGGGAACAAAGCAGTGGGTACTGTTTGGAACAGGTTCTCAGGGAGTCCTTCCCTAACATAAGGCTGAGCAGACCTGAATGAAGGAGATGTAAACATGGATATCTGTGCCTGGCTGGCGGGGTGAGCGATTTGGCCGTCTGAGGAACACTGAGCGGGCGTAGCTTGAGCTGAGAGAGAGAGGAAAGTGCTAACGATGGAGCAGAGTGATCCAGACTGGCCGCTTGTGGATCTTTCGGACATAATTGTAGATTAAAAGTTGCGTTCTTGATAAGTCACCGAAATAGGCAGTTAGGACTGACTGTTCACACGGTTTTCAGCTGGGTTTACCTTAGAATGTTTAACAGCCACACAGAAGTTACAGTGTTTTTTTGTCTTGCAAGATGAAACAATCTTTCCTGGTGTACAAGGAGTTAGACGGAGCGGCAACTCAGTCCAGCACTTCAGATGCTAACTTCAAGATGTTAAGATGTTAAGATGACGTTTTTGTCTTGCAAGATGAAACAATCTTTCCTGGTGTACAAGGAGTTAGACGAGCGGCAACTCAGTCCAGCACTTCAGATGCTAACTTCAAGGATGTTAAGATGTTAAGATGACATCACGAAGTTAAATGGAAAAGTACCTACAAGACCATTGTCACTTAAAGCACCTTTGAAAATTCACTAGAACTGTAGGTAATACTTTCTGCATCCCCTTAGGTGAACATCGTGACTTTGTCAGCTGCAAGCCCTGACCCTGCCCACAGTCCTCATCTCAGCTCTGCTGTAGTTCCTGCTCTGCAAACCGAGTCATTTCTGTTAGCTCCGAATAATGGGAATCTGGAAGCACTTTCAGGACTTGGTACCCCACCCACTAATGGGAAGCCTGCCTGTGATGAATTTGATCAGCGCATTGAAAATATGGCCCAGGTAAGAACATTCCTCCCTGTGATTTATGCTAGGATATAGTAGGAAAGTTTGGGCAATTTGAAGAATGCAGTTGCATTTATGTAGCACCAAAGAAAATGGAATGGGAGTTGGTGTGGTTCAGATTTTTCTAGTACATTTTTTAAAAATTATCACATTTTTAATTGAGTATTATATACTGTCTTGAAGAACCACTCTTCTGGAAAAATGGAATGCTCTGTTCTAGGTGTTCAATGCTAAAATGATCTTAGAATCTTTTTTCCGTCGTCTTCTTTTTTGTAGATAAAATGACTATTTTAGTTATCGACTTTATTTTTGGATACGGAGTTTTGCTGTGTAACCAACACTGGCCTGCAACTCACTATTTATAGTTCACACTTTTGTCCCATTCCCGATTCTCCCATCCATCTCTGGAGTACTGAGATTACAGACTGTGCCAAGACACCAGCCAGGGATTGGCTCTTAATTTGATTTGTTTTGTCTCCTGAACAGGGTCGCCATTTGGAAATTTTTGAGCTCCTCAAACCTGCATGTGGAGGCCTTGGATTTAGTGTTGTGGGACTCAGAAGTGAAAACAGGGGAGAGCTGGGGATATTTGTGCAAGAGATACAGGAGGGCAGCGTGGCTCACAGGTGAGCTGTCACACCAGCTTCCCTGTGTGTGATGAAAACAAAAAGCTGAGTATAATCAGATATTAACCAGGTTTTAGAAGTCATTAGTGTTTTATGGATAAAATATTGATGTCCTTTAAAACAAGTGCAGCAGTGCTGGGGAGATGGCTCAGTGGGTCAGATGTTTGCTGTGTAAGTGTTACTACCTGAGATTGAATCCCCAGCACTCAGTGTAAACAGAGTCAGGTGTAGCAGCATGCATCTATATCCCAGTGCTGTGAGAGCAGAGACAGAGGACCCGGCGATGCTGGGCAGCCAATCTAGCTGAAACAGCAGGCTTCAGTTTCCCCGACGGGCCATCTCAAAATAAGACACAGAGCATCGAGGAAGATACTTAATGTCAACTTGTGATCTCAACACATAGGTACATAGGTGAATATGTGTACATAGGTGCATATACTTTGTACAAGTAAAATAAATAAGAATAGCTTTGAAATAGTCATAAATTAATTACATTTTAGTAAGGAAATAAAATTTGAATATAACCTTATTTTCATTGCTACTTTTTAGGATCTTTTTAACTGAAAGATTACTAGAAATGCTCCATGATAATTTGAACTATATTTCATTAATTTACCAGAACAAGAAGGCAGTACATGCTTTCATTTTTAAAATAAAAGGACATCTAAAAATAATTTGTAGGGCTAGTCAGTAGTCAATGATGGGAGGGGCAGGTTCAGGATAGCAGCCAAACTATGTACAACTGAAACTTTAGGCAAAAGCTTAGAAAGTGTGTAGATTCTGTTGTAGGATTAAAAATCACCTGAACATTAGGCCGAAGAACCTGTCCTCTCCTCCAGAGCTGTCACATCTTGCATCCCCGCTTTCTTTCCTCAATAGAGATGGAAGACTGAAGGAGACGGACCAGATCCTCGCTATCAATGGCCAGACACTGGATCAGACCATCACACACCAGCAGGCCATCAGCATCCTGCAGAAGGCCACAGACAGTGTGCAGCTGGTCATCGCCAGAGGCCCCTTGCCTCCACGTGGCAGTCCTGGAGTTTCTCGCTCTCCGTCTGCAGCTAGCACAGTGTCAGCCCACTCTAGTCCAGTGAGTGCAGGAGGAACAGGACACACCTCCTCTCTACCCCTCTTCAGCTCTGTCAGGTTCCCTCATCCTGTGGCTTCTCCATACTCCTTGAGCTTTTAAAATTCTTTTGTGTCTCACTTCCTGATACATTTGTTAGTGAATTATGGTTGAGTTTCTGATTTCCGAAACAGCTTTTACTTTGTGTAGTATTTCAACAGCATTCCTAAAAAATGTAGTCCTTTGGTGAAATGACTCTGTAGACAGATAAGATCTTGATTTTGCTTCATAAGTTATGTCGTTATATTGTTACAGTTGCTGCCAGTGACTTTACAGACTCATCCAATTAGGAATCTCTTCCACCTCAAGGCAGGACTGGGCAGAAAACATCCCCAAGATGGGATGGTTGTTTTGCTTCAACTTTTTTCTTTGCCTTTTTTTGTTGTTAGAACTTTGACAAAAGTCTTACAAAATCGGTGCCTATTTCTAATTGGTTTAGGCATTGTAATGATGTATTGATAATTGTAAGAAGGATTATATCAATAACAGTAACAATCTGTTGAAAGGGAAATAATACCCAAGGAAGAGGAGAATGGTTACAGCTCACGATTCTGTCTAAATCCAGTAATTTAATACTAACAAAACAGTAGTCATGAAACATCTCCACTCTAATATAAAATTTGGGGGTTTTTCAAATTTTACAAATTCATATAAAGAGCTTTATTTTCAGGTTCACTGGCAGCATGTAGAAACCATTGAACTAGTGAACGATGGATCTGGTCTAGGATTTGGCATTATCGGGGGGAAAGCAACTGGTGTAATAGTCAAGACCATTCTGCCTGGAGGAGTGGCCGATCAGGTATGTCACTCTATAGATCCTTAGCGCTGCTCTGTTTGGAAACTTGGCTTCATGGTTGAAAACTTTGATTTGTGTAAAAAAAAACTAGGAGTATTTAGTCTTATTAGGCTATCCTTGAAGCATTCTCATGCCCCTAGAAATGGAGCCTGAGCCTAAGATACACTAGTGGGCATTGCACTCAGCACCCACAGACCAAACCAGACTGATGGTTCTAATCATTCTACAAATAGCTACCCTTTGTTTTATAAACATAGTTGCTTTAAAATAAAATTTTATGCAAAAAATACTTCATTGTTGACACAAAACAAAATGCAACCTGTCCATTTAGTGGCAGTGCCTGGCATCATCTTTGTAAATGGAGTATAGCCTATTTTGTACTTGAATTAGTTTGTTGAAGTATCATGATTTATGATATGTGCCATTTATGTGTGGGAAATAGTTCAAGGCATTTATTAGTTGTGATTAATATTTAACTTAAAAGGTAATGAAGCTATTATTTTTAACTATTATATTTGACCTTAAACTAGACAACCAAATTCATCATTCTCACATTTGTGAATGAAAGCCCTAGCAGTAGGAAATAAAATTCCTAATACCACACTCTGTATTTTCCGTAGAATGGTGCTCTACATTCTGTTGCTGTTAAATTCAACTTTAAATTCACTAAAATGAAATGAAATGACAACTTTTGTCCTTAGTTGGATTGGCCTCATTCTTGATGTTCCACAACACACGTCGCTTCTAACTGCTGTGCTGGACAGTTCAGAGCTGTCTGTGGTTTCACAAAGTGTGATTCGATACCATACACCCAAATGCGTATATGACTGTTTTTGATATATCTCATCTATATGAGTTTTAATCTGCAGATGTGTTCTTTTGGATATTTATAATTGAAATAGCCAGACAGAAGTTGTGGGATCAATTCAGTGCTTTCCTGTGGTTTGTACCACATTTAACTGATATGTACTGTGTTTGCACAGTGACTATGTATTTCTTCCTTAATGACATTTTCTTCTTCTTGTTCCTCAAAACCAAAAATCACACAAAGGCACTTTTCTTATATTATTGGGTAAAAATCAAGTGAAAAGTTTGTCACAGCTGTTGATTTTGGGAGTTCTCTGAGAGCTACATTTACTTCTATTACACTGAATGACATTAGAACTGTTCAAAAGACATTTAAACTTACAATTGTGTAAGTTGTTAAGTTGCGGGACTGACATTAAATTATTGTCTTTGGAGGATTTAGAATTTCTCTAGTGCAGTTATAATAACAGCAGCCTATTATTCGACTGCTTTTTTTCAGCATGGGCGATTATGCAGTGGAGACCACATTCTAAAGATTGGTGACACAGACCTGGCAGGAATGAGCAGTGAGCAAGTGGCCCAAGTCCTCAGGCAGTGTGGAAACAGAGTTAAGCTGGTGATTGCAAGAGGTGCTGTGGAAGAAACTGCTCAGCCTTCCTCTTCAGCCATCACCCTCTCCTCCTCCCCACCAGAGACGCGGGTGAGTAGGCAGAAACACTTAATGTGAAGGTGAAGGAAAATAGCAGTCGCATTAGAAGTTATACTTATTGATGTCCATATATTAATGTTAAAAGAATGGATCAAAATTCAGATGAAGGGGGCTGATATTCCATTTATCAGTAATGGTGGATAAAACACAAAAAAATGGTTTGTTTGAAATTTTAGCTCTAAGCAGTCATTTTAGGAGGATAACATTTTGAAGCACAGTTAAGATTTTACAGTTATTTTCTAATAATGCCTAAAATATTGAGTCTATCTTTGTTTTAATTGGAAACCTCTTTATGAACTGGGAATATAGTTCCAACCATTCCCTCTCTGTGGCTTTTATTTTTATGTTTTTGTGAGCAGTTGGGGTCTTAGATCCAAGGTAGAGTGAATGAGAACCTTTCCATGGCATTGTTTTAGCTCTGTGAGCTCTGAACGATTCCCGGATTTGTGACGAGTGGTCATTATCCCTAGCCCAGTCGCTTTTCCTTTTAAGCAGAAGTCATTCTTTGCCATATAATGGAAACTGTATTCAGTGGCATAGTGTCCATCTGTTCAAAGCCTGGTATAAAAAAACTGGGAACTTAAAAAATTATTGGAAGGAAGTAGCTATCTCAGTTGGTTTACAGGCCACAAGGCTACAGTGAATAAAATATTAACAAAATAATTCTGCGCAGAAGTCTCTTAAATATTTCAGAAGAGAGTTATGCCCATTACTAGGTAAATTTTATAGCAAATGCAAGTTCTGTATCCATTTCCCATAGATGTAATATATATCTATAATATATATTATAGATATATATATTCCTCTGTTAAAGTTGTTTCTTTCCCATTGCTGCTTATTTTTAATGTCCTAACCTCCTCCACAAGCCTTTTAAAACTTTATTAGAACACTTGAAATTTCCATGATTCTGTTGTTTTTAGGACTGAATTTGGTTGCTATTTTTTACAAAGAAAAAGAAGAAAGCTTGTTTATGAAAGTGTTTAAATGGCATTCTTTTGTGATAAACAAAACATTTTATTCAGCAATATATAAATGAATGCAATACCAAAACTACTTGATGTAATTGAAAGCTTAGAAAAATATCTATTCTATGCATATCATCATTTCTGAAGCTTGTGCCCCTTTTAAAACCATTCGATAGTCAAATTGCCACCCTCTAAAATAGCACTCGCATAACTCTTATTAAAAATAGAAAACACATTTGTTTCAATTGAAGCAGATTTCATCCTGTCATTTTCTTGTAATTATCTAAACTTTAAACTTTTGCTAAGTTTGCACAGATAATTATGTGCAATGAAAAATAAATCAAACTTTACTGTAAATTATATTTCATTTAGGTGGACCATCAGTGAGATAAACTGTTTGCTTAAAGAAAGTCAGAAAATATTAACAGCTAGTCCCAGTCTGCATGCCCGTTACAATCCATCGCCTTGATTTCTTTTTGGGTTGATTATAGAATCCTCTGATAATCACATTTTTGCATAGTACCAATGGCTTATTGATAACATACTGTGCCATTCCAATAATGGGAGTCTTGACCCTCAGTCCAGCATGCAATTATAATATCCACACATGTTTAAGAAACCCCATTCCAGCTCCTATCCTAGGACAGGAGGGTTCCACTACACACATTCCTCATGGCTATATTGAATTTACAAAACAAATAAGATGGTAGCTTAAAAGACTTTCTTGGTGCCTTCACTGCTTTAAAAAAATGAGTCATCAGCTTATTTATAACATGGCTGCAGGGTGGATTAGTGTTCATGGTGTAAGAATAAGCTATAGGTTTTAAATAACAATAGGAAATTTGTGGATGCTGTGGCCCTATTTCGTGCAATTGGTTTAACAAACATTTAAGAGCAACTCTGCAACCAGACTGTTCAGATATGAATTCTACCTCTGCTTGATGTTAACTGTTTGTCTGTGGAAATAGATATGTGCCTGTTTTCCCAAAGGAAAATTGATAAATGATTGTACCTATGTAATTGGCTTACAAATAATATAAAGAATCATATTGTTATAAGGAGCAAGAAACTGAGACATGCCAAGTGCCTCAAAATGAAACCACTCTGTAGATGGCAGCTGGTCATTACTGTTCTTGGTAGACAGTTGTGCAGAAGCGATGCTGAGAAAGATTAAGTGGAAACATTAGTTTTTTTTTTGTTTTTTTTTTTTTCACAAAAGATAAGTTCTCCCTATAACCCCAGCTAGCCTGGAACTGGCTATGTAGACCACGCTGGCCTCAGGGCTGTGTATGCATATGCCTCCAGAGTGCTGGGATTAAAGGCATGCACCACCATACCTGGCTAGATTTCAAGTTAAAATTTTTTTAAGTTACTTTTTGTACATTTCATGTAATACGTCTTTTGATCATATTTAAAGCCCCTCCCCTATCTGCACCCCTTCATAGCCTGTGGTCACCACCAGTGGCAGCTGCTCCTCTGTTCTCATGGGTGCCACTCCTTCATTCTCACAGGAGTCAAGGCTGCTCCTCCGCTGGTCCTGGGCTGAGGCCGCTCTTCTGCCTGCCTTGTGCTGCCCAGGACTGGTGAGAAGACTGTGTCAGCAGAGCCACATTCAGACACAAGAGACCAGGTTCAGTGACACAGATCTGATTTATTGCAGGAAGGCACAAGCTTATATAGGGGTAGTGGTCCAATCACGGCACAGCAAGTAGGATATCTTATTAGCATAACAGGCTTAGCGTCCTATCACAGTACAGCAAGGAGGATACCTTATTAGCATAACAGACTTAGCATCCTATTAACATAACAGACTTAATGTCCTATCACAGAATAGCAGGTAGGATGCCTCATTAGCATACTGGGTTTCAGATTACAGAGCCTGGATTCCTGGAAACCACATGACCCTGACTGTTGCAATATCTGAGTGTTGCAGTTTTGGACTCCAAGGGTGGTAATTAGGGAGTGGCAAGCTCTAGGCATCAGTCTCATGATCTGCCAATGGGAGCAAATGTCACAAGGCTTTCCTTGTGGCTCCAGCGGTTGGGCCGTTGCCTCGGGCCTGCTGCATGGCTCTCAATAAGACTTTCACCCTAGGCTCAAGCCTGTCTCCCACAATAGCCCTACCATGGATGTCATGCATGTTAAGGTCTATTGAGTCAAGGGTGTGTCCCCAGATGTCCCTAGGTGTGAGTTCATTCATTGGAGCCTGGTCAGCCTATCTACTTTCCGTCCTTTAAAGAAGACCAGCTTTCCCTCACCCAGCATTGATCAGTTGCCCACAGTCCCTCAGCTAAGGGGGGAGCTTCTTACCCATTTCCCCACTTCTGTGCTGAATTTTTGTCTGGTTTGAGTTTTGCCTGGGTCTTGTGCATGCTGTCACCTTTGCTGTAAGTTCATATGAACAAGTTCCCAGAAATCTGTAAAACTGTTCCCTTGTCGTCATCCACCATCCCTGGCTCTTATAGCCTTTCTGCCCCATCTTCCACAATGGTCATACTGTGCCCTTGGTGGCAGAGGAATCTTATCCAAGAACACATACTCTGCAGTCTCTTTTTCTCTACATTTTGGCCAGTTGTGGTTTTCTGGGTTAATCACCATCTGTTGCTGGAGGAAGTTTTGCTGTTGAGAATTGAGAGATGCACTAATATTCTCTCTGCCCCCATTCCACTATAGTCCCTGAGCCTTAGGTTTAGAGGTTCCATTGTAGATGTCTCTTAGGGCTGAGCATCTCACAGATGCTTGGTCTCTGTGTTTGACTAGTTGTGGAACTCTGTAAGAGTCTCCATCTGTTGCAAAAAGGTTTTTGATGAGTGGTGAGAGGTATACTTGTTTGTAAATATAAGGATACATATTTAGCACACAGTAAGAAATTATGTTTGTCTAGGAATGTGACAGATGTAGGTTTTTCTCTAGGATCTGTGACCTCTCCAGCCATGTGTATTTGGGTATGTTCGGAGTACCGCACATGAATTCCCTCCCATTGAGTGGGCTTTAAGTTCAATTAGATAGCTGTTGAGTATCCCTAAGACAAATGTGTCACTATTGCACCAATGGGGATAGTTTGCTGAGCTTGTCAGCTGGTCATTTTTGTGGTTATTAGGCTTTACAGCTGAATTGAACCTTTGATTGGTTTTCTTTCTTAGCAGTTTGCATAGTATCCTCTGATGCTATGAGAGCCAGTCTTCAGGGAAGAGATTTCCAGGAAAGTTTGTTTCATCTTGATTCCTCCAAGTCCTGTGCCTGAAATATGTCCTATCTTCAGCAATAGGGCCTTACCTTTGAGTTCTGGGAGGTAATTGAGGACTGTGGCAATAGCCTGTCTTATTTTGGAGTTTTATGGGCTACTTTGACCAGCAAATCGAAGACTGGTTTTTCTCCTGTCTGGCACTGTGTTTCTTGCTATATAGCCTTCAGCTATACACATGCATGCACACACACACACACACACACACACACACACACACACACTATGTGTATTTTTCAGTAGACTCTTTTTGAACTATTACATTTCCCTCTGGCTTTTTATACTACCTAAGCATCATTTATCTTTTGATATAAATTTAGAACACAAGTTCTTTGAATGTCCCGACACCTTCAGAAATGAAAAGGAACCACCTCTGAAAATAGAGTTTGTCAACAAGAAATCTACTTAATTAAAAAAACTTGGATATACAGTAAGTTTGTCTATCTGATAAAGGAGGAATCAGCTTTATTTTCGACATTCTTTTCTGAATAAAAATGTGTTGCTCAGTGTACATTGTTAGGATCCCAAGGACCACTCTAATTCTCCAGCATAGTTTCATTTTATGTCACATTATCACTGAATTGTCTCTGTGACTTTTCAAACTTTCTTTTTTTACATGTTGATTTATGTGAAGATTTACATTATTGATGTTACTTCAGGTTGATGCTTCTACTCAGAAAAATGAAGAAAGCGAAACATTTGATGTGGAACTCACCAAAAATGTTCAAGGATTAGGAATTACCATTGCTGGTTATATTGGAGATAAAAAATTAGGTAATATTCAACCTTAAATATCTTTTTAACTTGATAATTGTCTCTAATATTTACCTTACAAAATATTTAATTAGTGTTATGTGTTTTCAGGTTGTTGGATAAACTAGTTGAAAGCTTTCTTAGAAATCATTTAGTGTCATGACTGATATGACAGGCTATAAACAACTGCTATAATCTTTCTACTAGAGGTTTTTGGCTTGTTGATACATAGTTATTTATATTTAGGGTTTTGATGTAGAGGATAGAGGATAGATATTCTTTGAGTATGCTTTGTAAATAGTGAAAAATAACTTGTTTCATATCTTAGAACCTTCAGGAATCTTTGTAAAGAGCATTACAAAAAGCAGTGCTGTTGAACATGATGGAAGAATCCAAATTGGAGACCAAATTATAGCAGTAAGTTACATATTTAATAATAACTTTTGTGATTTTTAAGCAAAATTTTATTTATTATTTATTTATTATTTATATTTTTATGGGTATGAGTGTTTTGCCTGAGAGTATGTAAGTGCAGCATGTATATGCAAAGCCAATGGAGGCCGTAAGAGGGCGTTGGATCCCCTGGAACTGGAAATGAGAATGGTTTTTGCTCCCATGTGAGTGCTGGGAACTGAACCTGGGTCCTCTGCAAGATCAGTCAGTGCTATTAACCACTGAGCCACCTCTGTAGCCCAGCTTTTATAGTTTTCATAATTAAGAATTACATTCTCAGCTGAGCGAGGTGGTGCACACCTTTAATCCCAGCATTCAGTAGGCAGAGGCAATCGGATCTCTTTGAGTTCAAGGCCAGCCTGGTCAACATAGTGAGGTCCAGGGAGACTCTGTCTCAAAAAAAAAAAAAAAAAAGAAAAGAAAAAGAAAAGAACTACATTCTCCCATTTTACTTATTTTTAATTGTGTGTTAGATTTTTTTCCTTTATCACAATTCACCTAAGTCTTCTGACACAGGGTCTCTCACTGAACCTGGCGCTCACCAGTTGACTAGACTGGCTGGCCAGTAAGCCCCTGAGATATGCCTGTGTTGATCCCCTCCTCATTGGGGTTGCGGATAATGCTGCCAGGCCTGGGTGCTGAGGATCTGAACTCAGGTCCTCATGCTGTCACTCATGTGTGTGCAGGTGTGCTGTGGGTGCTTGTATGTGTGGAGACCACAAAATGACATTTGGTGTCTCCTCTATCATTCTCCACCTTATTTTTTGAGACAGAGTCTTTCCTGGATGCTTGAGCTCATCAACTTTGTAGAATGGCCAAACCCTAGAGAGTAATCAGTAAACCCCAGCAGTAATCAGTTCCCAGTATTTCTTCAGCTAAAATTGGGATCAACTGTCGGTTTCCTCAGTTCTGTGTTGGGTTATTGTCTGCTTGAGTTTGCATGGGTCCTGTCCATGCTGACACCATTGCTGCAGGTTCATATGAGCAGAGTTCCAGGAGCCTGTAGGATTCTATTTCCATGTGGTCCTGCACCTCCTCCCTGGCTCTTACAATGTTTCCACTTCCTCTTCTGTAATGGTCCCTGAGACCTTGGTGGGTAAAATTTAATATAGGAGTCCTGTCCAAGTACCAAAATTCTGCAGAATCTCTTAGTCTCAGGGATTGTCCTGTCTCCACCTTCCAGTGCTAGGATCACAGGTATACAATACCACATTCAGCTCGTTATGTGAGTGCTGCAGATCCTTATGGCTGCAAGGCAAATCTCTACCAACTAAGCCATGTCCCCAATCCTAACTCCATTAATTTAATTTAGCTTAGGTGACATGAGGCTGTCATCACAGTTAACCTGTTCAATTATTTTCTTCAAGTTAAATGAAACATTAGATAGAACATTTACTACTTTTAAACCCAAAAGGAAAAATCTCTTTTGAATAATTTCTGTTATATTTGATTTCTGGTTATAAAGAATTTTTACACTAATATTATATTACTTTTCCTTATGGATACTTGGACGGTAAAACCAGATGTCATGATATTTATTACACCTGGATCTAAATTTGAGATATGTACATTTTTAAACCAACAGACTGATACTGTAAACTCCATAGCTGAACTCCTTTCAGTTCTGAGCATGTATAGGGATGAAAGGAATAGATCAACCCCATTTTAACTGATCATCATGCCATTGCAATAACATGTAGTGTGTTTTAAGAATATGGCTATTTCAGGTAGTTTATGAAAAAAAATCCAACATTTTGTTTATTATTTAGTAGGTACTGGTTTCCCCAAACTGTTCCTTGAACTCAAAATTAATGTAGACTAAATACATTTAGGGAAACTGCATATAATATTATGTTAGGAATTCACAGTGCTCGTTGAAAAGCTGAAGACTTGGAGGTGTGTGTAGGATAGAACCTATTTACTATCTTCGAGTACTTCCGAAACTTCTGTATTGTGGGACCTTTCTCTTTCCTAGTGTTTATTTTAATGTCATTTTGAAGATATCAGTGGAGAATGCTGATTTCTGTGTTTATGATGAATTAAGCCTCTTGTTCCCTTGCAGTCTTTTTCTTTGCGGGGTTGGGGAGATTTTATTTTAGCTCACAAGTTATAGTCCATCATCCGGAGAGGCCAAGGCAGGAACTAAAGTGAGAAACTTGAATTGGAAACCAAAGGAAGAACGTTGCTTACTAACTTGCTCATTCAGTTTTTCTATTTACATGTTAATTGTTTTTGTTTTTTTTAATTGAATTTTTGTTTATTTTATACAGAACATTCCAATCAGTCTTAATCATCTTTATACCCCTTTCCCCACCAGCACCCTCCCATAGGCACCCCCACTGGAATTCATACATTCTGTCATTTGTCTTAAGGGATATTGTTCAAGTTAGTGTCCCCAGATGTCCCTCAGTGTAAGTTCCTCTACTGAGGTTTATTCAGCCTATCTAGAGATTCTCACTTTATGATGATCAGCTCTTCCATACCCAGCAGTAATCAGTTGCCAGTATTTCTTCAGCTAAAATTGGGGTCAACTGTTGGTTTCCTCAATTCTATGCTGGGTTATTGTCTGCTTGAGACAGCATGGGTCCTGTGCATGCTGACACCATTGTTGTAGGTTCATATGAGCAAGGTTCCAGGACCCTGTTGGACTCTATTTCCATATGGTCCTGCACCTCCTCCCTGGCTCTTAAAATCTTTCCACCTCCTCTTCTGTAATGGTCCCTGAGCCCTGGGTGGGTAAAATTTAATAGAGAACTCCTGTCCAAGGACCAGAATTCAACATAATCTCAGTCTCTACACTTAGCCATCTGTGACCATTTGTGCTCCTGACCCTCTGTTGCATGACAGGGCTTCGTTAATGAGAATTGAGATATTCATTATTGTCTTCTTTACCCCTTTTTTCTATTGTAGATGTGCCACTTACACTTGGGCAATTCACTGTGACCAGTTGTGGAACTCTAATAGTCTCCATCTGGTACAAAAGAAGCATTTTTGATGAGAGGTGATTGGAATATTTATCTCTCAATATAAGGATACATATTTTGTACATAGTAAGAAATTATATTAATCTAGGGATCTGACCATTTTAGGGTTTTCTCTAGGATTTGTGACCTCTCCAGCCATGTATTTGGCTGTGGCTACAGTACCACACATGAGTTTCCTCCCATTAAGTGAACTTTTAGTCCAATTAGGTAGCTGCTGATTGCCCCCAAGATAAAGGTGCCACTACTGCACCAGTGTCATATGCTGTGCAGGTCATTAATGTTATTTGGTCTTGAAGCTCATGTTGGACCATAATTTATGTTCTCCCTTAATACCTTACATAGTGCTTTCCAAAGCTTATGATAGCTTGTCTTCAGGGGAAGTGGTTTCCACATCAGTTTCAGCTCCATTGCTCCAAATCTTGTGTCTGAAGTATGTTCTGTCTTCAACAGTAGAGTTTTACCTTCACATTCAGCGAGGCAATCAAGGGATGTGGAATAGCCTGTATATTTTGGGAAGTCTATTGGGCTACCCTGGCCAACAACTCAAAGGAAGGTTTCTCCTTTCTGGCACTGTTTCTTGTTATGTAGCTTTTAGCTATACACATGGACTCATATAGAGATATTGTATGTGTAATTTGTCATTAGGTTGTTGGACTAATACAATTTCCTCTACTTTTTTACACTAGCTAGGTATTGTTTATCTCTCCTCTCTCTTTCTCTTTCTCTCCTCTCTCTCTTCCTCTCTCTCTCTCTCTCTCTCTCTCTCTCTCTCTCTCTCTCTCTTCCTCCCTCTCTCTCTCTCTTGCCCTTCTGCCATGGTTTCCTGATGTAACCTCTCTCTCTCTCTCTCTCTCTCTCTCTCTCTCTCTCTCTTGCCCTTCTGCCATGGTTTCCTGATGTTAAGTCTTCCCCTTTCCCACATTTCTCCCTTGATAATACTAGTCTCCTATGGTACCACCTCTCTCGAGCTCCTTCTTTCTCTTTATCCACAAGGTAAATTGTACAGCCCTTCCGTGGTGGTTTGAATGAAAATGTCCCCCATAGGTTCCAAGTGTTTGGACATTTTGTCCCCAGATGGTGGCACTGCTTTGGGAGGTTTTAGAAAGTGTCACTATCCTGGAGGAAGCACGTCACTGGGGGTGGGCTTAGAGAGTTCTTAAGTCTTGCCAGATCTCCAGTTGCTCTCTTGCTTCCTGTGCCTGTGTGATGATGTGAGAGTTTAGCTTATGCTGCTCCTGGTCCAGCCACCATGCCTCCCTTCCATGACAGACTGTAATTCCCCTGGAATTGTAAGCTCAAGTAAACTCTTCCTTCTATAAATTGCTTGGGTCAGTGTTTCTATCACAGCAACAGAAAAATGACTGATACAGTAATCGGTACCAGAGAGTGGAGTGTTGTCTGTGAAGAACCTGACCATGTCGGGTTTTGGAGGAATGTGGAAGACTTTGGAAGTTTGAGCTAGAAAAGTGGTTGATTGCTGTAAGCAGAGATTAACAGACCATTCTAGTAAATGCCTGGAAGAAAGCAATACTGAGAACAGTGTCATTCCAGAGGGAAATATAAGGACATTTAAAGTGATTAAGGAGGGGCCTAGAGATTCAGACTTAAATAATGGAGAGAATGCCTCCAGGGAAGTACCACACCCAGTTAAACCTTGAACTTGTGAAAGCAAAATGCTGCAGGGACCACTGAAGAGAAAACCTTTGAAAATGAGTAAAGCAGGCTGGAGTCCACCTCAAACTTGCAGTCAAACTTGGCAGTGTCGTTCACCTGGTGCTGGCTTTAGAGGCATGAAATATGCAAGAGTGAAGGGGCCATCAATTCTTCCTCCAAGGTTTTGGAGAGCCTAGGCTGCCAGGCAGCATGCAGCAGGGCTTTCCCTGCATAGAGAAAGCCCTTATAGGCCACTGCGTGAAGCTGTGATGGTGAAGCCTGGTTGGCAGTGGAGACCCCAAGAAGATGTCTGTGATAGCAGAGCTG